ATTAAATCAATATATGTATAGCATGCTAATATGGTGATTAAACTGACAAAATGAAGAATAAAATGAGATTTGCGTTTTCCTATATTATGTGTTATGTATATTATCATTAGGAGAAAAGTTGTTGCATATTGAAGATAATATATGACAATACAAAGAAGTTTAAAATATGTATCTAATTAGTTTGTAGAATAGGAATTGTAAATGGAAATATTTTTGAAACGATAAAATTTCAGAACGTGCGTATCAACTATAAAAATTGATAAAACTTTGATGTATTCAACTATTTGGCATTATCCTCTGATAATAATATATCATAAACTTATAGCAGTCAAAGTTTGTGAGTTTCATACTTTAGCTCTTCATAGGACAGCACATTGATAAGTTTTTTTTAATTTTCATTTTAGCTATTGACTTGATTTATTCAAACTTTCATTATAAAATGAAAATGATTTCTGTTCAAATTTTCAATATAATAAATATCTATGATGTGAATTTTATAAATAATTGAAGAACAAATCGTACTTTAATATTGATTAGTTTATTACCAATTTATTAAATTATGTTTTCTTTTTTTGTTTTTGATGATCTAAAGTCAAGATTGAATTTACATTTTATTTTTATACATTTCTTTATTTTTCTCAATTACAAACGGAAAAAAAGATAAAAAAAAGTATACAGAAATTCAGTTCTTTAAATGACACATTCGATATAATCAATTACAAATTAGTAATGAAATAAAATGATTTAATTTTGTGATAAATAAACCATTGATAAATGTTCAATATCTTCTTGGAGAAGAACATTCATACCCATAAATGAATGTGCACCAATATGACAATGAAACATCCATAAACCTGGATTATTAGCAATCATACGTAATTTTGCCCATCCACATGGTTTTCGATGATTTGTTACATTACGATCCGAAAAATAATAAGCATAAGAAGTTGCATAAACCATTAATGAATCACGCAATACTGGATCGTGTATATTAGGCCAAATATTTATCGTTGAATCATACATGTCAGTTCCATAGGAATGTATCCAAAATTTATGTCCGTGCATATGCATTGGATGTGATTCACAGATACCATTGAGTGCAACAGTATTTTGAATAATAATATCAACTAATTGATTATGTTTTAGAGTATAAATAATATCACGTGGAAGATTTTGTTCATTACCATGATATAAATCCATAAGAAGAGATGTATTAAGATTATTTAAACGAGGCATATCAAATGTTGCATTATTTGTTAACCAACGAATACCTTTTCCATCAGCTGTATTTTCTTGACCAGTATGTAAAACTATTTCAACATCAGCACGACCTTGATGACCTTGAGGCATTTTTTCTGAAGCAAGTAATGTTCGATATCGTTGACTATAGGAAAATATAAATAATTCAGTTTCATTAGATAATATTGGAAGATTAAGCGATGATATATTTGAAGGAATTGTAGATTGTAAACCATATCGTAAGATACCAATGCAACTAGAAACAAAAAAAAAGTAAATTATTTATTGATTAAAAATAAATGTATGTAAAAATAGAGATAGTATGAACCTAGAATTGACTGCTGCCACTCGCCATCGAATCGATGCTTGCATAGCAAAAACACCGGTATATTGATTTTTTGTCTCAATCATTACTGCATATCGTTGTCCAGAAGCAATTTCAATCGATGTCATATTAGGTTTTGGCACGACAAGTTTTCCATCTACTTCGACAACAGTCATTGTATGTTCAGCTATGCCAAAGACAATTGTAGATAAACTTGTTGAACCAATTAATCGTAATAAATAGAACGTGCTTGGTTCTACAGTCAATACAAAATTTCGTTGACCATTCATAAACAGATGTGATGGTTCTCCTTCCCATTTAAATGGTGATTGAATTAAGCCAGCTTCTTGTGCAAGACGATCAACTCCTTCCCAATGATCAGAAAACATAATTGGACCTGATGGTATTTCTATTGCTTCCCATGGTCTTTGTGGATCATCAACAATTAATGCACCAAATACTGTAACAGCTTGTAATCCTACATGTGAATGATACATATGAGTACCTGCTGGATAAGCATGAAAAACATGTGTAAATGTTTGCCCATGTGAAATCGGCATTTGTGTTACAAATCCTACGCCATCCATTTGTGGTGTTTGCCGCTGAAGCATACCATGAAAATGAATAGTGACTGCTTCCATTGATTGAAGAGCATTATGAATATGAACAATTATTATATCGTCAACATTAGCTCTAATTGTTGGTCCTGGATATTGATTATTAATTAATAAAACAGATGTTGTATTTCTAGCATAGGTAACTGTAAAATTGTATTCATGACGATTAATAAATCCACTTCTTGCTTCAGTCAATGGTAGCAATGATATCAAAAGAAAGAAAATAGAATGAAACATTGCCATAATATGTTGTGTCAATAAATGTAATTATAGTGTTCTTTTCACATATATGCGCACACACTAACTAATTTCATTTTAGACACGAAAACAATTCAAAACTAACCTGAGATAAATTTTGCATCACGAGGATGAAAGCAAAAGTTTATCGTTATCACATTGTGCAACGAAGTCAAACAATGCGCCTATTCAAGATACAGCTACAGATATATACTTATCTTTTGCCTTTTTGCTTTTATTGTGCAAGATTTGACTTTTTTGTTTGTTTTTGTTTCATAGAATGAAGTCAAAATAGTTTCTTCTAATAATAGGTTTTCAATTTATTCTATCAATATGTATCTTGTTCGTCATATACAAAACTGTTATAGAAACTATTTGATTGCTTTGCTATTCTGAATTTCATCTTTTGAAATTGAAAGTCTCGCAAAATGAAATTCTGTTTTTGTTTTTTTTTTTGAAGAATTGAATATTATTTTCCAATAAAATATAGTAAAACTGAACGCGTTAGAGATATAGAGAAAAGAATGCGTTTGTGTGTGAAATCAGCGAAGACTCGTGCCCACATCACAATCTGCGGTTTTATCGTTCAAAAGAGAAATGTTGGGAACGTGAAAATTTGCTGAATTATTCGAAGTACGTATTGACCAGGTTGATGAGTTTTTTCTATAGATGTTGACCAACAGTTTTCGAAAAACTTTCTAAACTGACAATGAGTTCCAGTTTAGGAACTCAATAGCAAAGATATTTCTTTATCGATGAACGCAATAGCGACCTCTCTAGCTTATTACATTTAGGAGTTATAGACATTTTACTGAAAGCTTCAAAATCGGTCGAATGATCACTAGTCATTCTAAATTATATTGAATTTGGGTATATTCGTCTACACTGAGTCTCGAGATGATACTTATTTTTAGTTTTGAAGCAATCTGACGTTGAAAAGACAAGATTTTGAAAATACCCTAACTAATCTTAGAAGCTTTGTATACAATGAATTACAAACACATGAATTACAACGTCTGCCAGGATCCTAGCGAAAGAGTTGTTCAAACAAGGACATCCACCACGTAGTTCATTAAGACACTGTGATGTATGCAAAAATCATTATCTAGCAACTGATGATCATATTGAAACTAAGAAAAAATACAAACATTGGACTCAGCGTAGATAAATGCATATAATTTAATACATTTTTGAGTGACTAGTGGACAATTGACTGATTTCAAGGCTCTCAGTAAAATGCTTATAACTCTCGAATATTGATATCCTCATTACATTCGTCTTTTTTTTCATATTTATCTCGTTTTGTTCCTATTAAAAACATGACTCGCTCATATTTAAACACACGCTATGTGTAAGCTATGATACATATATATATATATTCTAAGAGTAATAGCTTCAGCCCTCACATGTGTCCTATATTGATATTGTTTTGTGGTAGCTTGCGAAATTCCACCCTAATTTTGCCAATATGCTGCCAGACTTTCGTCCAAGACGAAAGTCTTATTGGCGAAATTCCAGCCATCCGTATGAATTTACAATACCATGCAACAACTATTAACGATGTTCTCTATGAATTGATTTTTGATTGATATCGAACGTTTCTTTTCAATTTCAAACTCAGATAAGATTGAAGATAACTTATATTCGACTGGTTACAATAAAAATATTCGAAATACACAAGAGCAAATAAATTTGGTCAGTTTCATTTTTTTTTATTTTAGCAACTTTTATCGTAAAATGTTGTTCTTGGTGGTTATTCACTATGAGTTACATAGTGATAATGAGATTTATTTTAAATTTTTTCTTATTATGCCTACAATATTCAGTTTTAAATACGTTCGCATTCTCAGCAACATTTGTCAGACGGTTATGCAGGCCAGGAATAGAAAAAAAAATTAAAGGTAAATATGATCGACTGGAGTTGCCAAGTAAAACAGAAAGAAAAAGAAAGGCATACATTTTAGTCAATAGTAACATATTCTTCACAACGTGGTCCATTTCAAAAAAATGTCACTCACTATTCTCCTTTTGTTTTAATAAGCAACTTTCATGTAACGTAGTTTTTTATCACATATTAATATGCTGCTCGTAAACCATTTTACTCTTCCTAAAGTAAAAAAAAATCGTGCTTCATTTTTTTCACTTTTTTTAAACAAATATTCGAATAAAGTCAATTATTATACTCAGATAACTACGTAGTTGCGAATTTTAGGAAAAAAAATTATTTAATTTGTATATATATATAATAAAGTCAGCTATCGAAAATTGTTGCTCGTTATTAACTATTTAAATTTTGTTTACCCTTACAACGCTTATACAATGAAATGACTTTCACTAGGGATATTCAAGAATGAATGAGACCTAGTCTATCAATAATCTAGTGAATTAAATTTCAGATTTATTGTGAATCAATAATCACAATACTTATCTTTACGAGTTGCACGTACAAGAAATTTATCATTTAAGCTGTTGAATTATAGTAACATTAATAATTCGTTATCAGCGTTAGAATTTGGACTGTCTTTCTTTTCTGAATCTGCAAACTTTCTTTTAACTGATTTTAACAAAAACTTATTATAGATATGCAGTTTCCACATCCTGATTCTCGGATATTACCTCATCAAATATTATGTACTGCAGCACCACTTAATTCAACATCCAAGGAACTGAAAAGAGTTGTCGGTTCGCTTGTTGGTCTTGCTGTTGGTGATGCACTTGGAGCTAGTGTTGAATTTCGTCCCCGTCAATATCTTATTGATCATCCTGCAAAAGATATGCAGAATGGAGGCACGTGGGGTCTTCGAGCTGGTCAATGGACAGACGACACTTCCATGGCTTTATGTCTAGCGTCGTCACTCATCACTCATCGTCATTTTAATTCATACGATCAAATGGTGCGCTATAAATGGTGGTATAAAAAAGGTTTTCTTTCATCGACTGGTGAATGTTTTGATATCGGTACTACTACTCGCACTTCACTTGATGAATTTTGCCGTCGACAAAATATTCTCAAACAACATTTTCGAGGTATGAAGGACGATGACATTGATCATTTGCCGTTAGAGCACGTTAGAAGTGTGCAAAATTTTAATGAATATTGTGGTGTAGTACAACAAGCTGGTAATGGTGCGTTAATGCGTCTTGCTCCTGTGCCTCTGTTTTACTTTCGACACCCTGAAAAGGCTGTTAAATATGCAGGTGAGAGTGCCTGTCTTACTCATGGTGATCAAAAAGCAGTTGACGCTTGCCGTTATTATGCAGCTCTTATCGTTGCTGCAATTCATGGAGAATCAAAAAAAGAACTATTAAATGAGCAATTTTACGAAAAGCATAACTCATGGTTTGGATCTGTGAAACTTCATGATGAAGTTCTACGTGTAGCTCGAGGATCATACAAAAAACAAGGTGGTTATAAAGATGGTATTCGAGGAAAAAGTTATATTATCAATACTTTAGAAGCTGCTCTCTGGGCGTTTTGGTCTGATGAAAACTCTTTTGAAAAAGGTGTTCTTAAAGTTATTAATCTCGGCGATGACACCGATACAACCGCTGCCGTATATGGTCAATTGGCTGGTGCATATTATACTATATCAGGTATTCCCTCACGCTGGGGTGAAAAACTGTATGCTAATACACTGATTATTTGCATCGCTGAATGCCTTTATGTCGAAGGAAGCCGAAGTGAAAATAATATGGTTCAACCGCACCAACCACAAAAAAGACAGATGACAATGCAACATCAGAATCAGCCAACAATGTCAACATCACAGTTCAATCAACATCAAGATTCTTACAAATCAATTCAGCAAACTTCATCTGAAGTTTATAAGGATCGTATCGACTATGGTATTCCATTTAAACAATTGCAGCCTCAAACGTATCATACTACTCATTCAAACACTAATAATTCGTACAGTCGACAGCAAAAAACAAAACGAGATCCTAGTACTTTACCGCCTGCCGGTTTACACAGTGGTTTTTACAGAAGGTAGACATCTCATGTAAGCCACATCAATATGAGAAATCTTAATCATTTATTATCATCTTTACTTTAATGGGAACATTTACGATTTTGATAATGTTTGCACTTCTAGTGACTTAAAAATTCTTCTTTTGTGTTTTGAAAAGACATTCTTTTTTATTTTGAGTAGAGAAAAATTCAATAGTTTTCAAGACATGTCTCATGAATTGTGGATTCAATGTTATTAACTACAGTGATGAGATGAGTAGAACACAAGAAAAAGAACTAGATAATGAGCTATTTTTAAATAGTTACAAGCGTTCTTGCATAGTGAATTTTAGTGTGCGGAGTAATCTGAAATTATTTTAATTTTTGAAGATACTTAAAAAATACTTTGTTCCTTACAATTTGTTACTTTACTTTAAATTGCAGTGCAAACTGATTTTAGTCAATTATTAGCTCTTATAACGCATGTCATAATCTCATTATCATTAGTGTGAAGGTAAAATATGAGATTGAAAATAGAATCAGAGTTTTAATCATTCTATATTTTTACAAGTTAGTTATTATCTTGATCGTCATCAAATTAAATTTGTTATCGTTCAAATCTACATTGTTTGTTGTGAATACGACGTTCTATTTAAAATGTAGAAAAGAATTCAAATTTTACTTAGACAAACATGTTATCTGTATTAAACATGAATTTTCTTTTGAGATATATATGTCGTAGGACAAATTAAAATCTAGTTCAGTTTTAAATCGAACTAGGACAGATTGAAATTTTAATTCTTCCTAGTTCAGATTAAAATTTTGAAGTCAACTAGTTCACTTCACAATCATTTCAATGTCAACTAGTTAACTTCAAAATTTTAATCTGAACTAGGAAGAATTAAANAAACGCGTTTTCAGACAATAAACGCATTTACACGTTTACAGAAAAGAGAAAAAGTGGTTGTTTTTTTAATACTCCAGATGCTCGATCACGATTACAGTCACGTTTCTCGAGCTGGAAAAGCAGAACAACTTTTTTCTTTCTTTTGTATGCGTGTAAACGCGTTTAAACGCAGAAAATGGACGAAAAATGGGCGTTTTTGCTGATTTTAGGCCAATTTTTATGTGTTTAAACGCGTTTTCTCAAAAGTTTGTCTGCTTGAGCTCTGGTTCGGCTGTATATAATGTCGCTAAGCATAAATAAGAGCACGAATCAGAAATTGAAAACAAACTATCTCGTATTATTCCTGATATATGATAATGTGCTATTCATGTCACTCAAAGAATTTATATATGAAAACAAAACTTTATTTTAAATTATTAACCAACGAAACAAAATTTCTCTGAATACCTTGATACACAAGCGAATAAATTGTATCATTATGTGAAAAAACAGTTTCATTTGTCAAAAGTCGATAACAATTGTCTTTTAACTCCTGAACTTCATTATAACTCTTAATTGACTATATCATAAATCAGTAGAAAAGCAAAAGTGCATAGATCTGAAACTTTTTTTAATGACTCTCGTAAAATAATATAGCATATCGAATGAGTTGATCATGTAGTCGAGAATAATACAAGTCGAAGTGAGAAGTGTTACTTTTTGACAAATACATACTATAAAATAACAAGAAATCTCAAAGCATCATATATGATTACATATTTTAATATGACTTATGAATGATGAAATTTTCATATGACCAAAGGAGACACAACAATATTTGTTTTTTTGTTATACGAATGATTCAGTCATATAAATAGATAATTTTTCGTATCATAAGTATACTTGTTATATTATACTTATGATTAACTATCAAATACAACTAATTATATTTGCTATAATAATTGTTTCTATGATCATACTATTGAGTTTTATTTTTTCAAATGTTATGAAATTGAGTGATGAAAAAAAATTGATTAAACTATGGTAGAAACTTATTCAAATTATGTAGTTTCATCGTGCTTAAAAAGACGTAACAAAGACAATGCAATAGTCAGCGGAAGACCAAAAATAGCAACGAAGGTCGTCATTGCCAGAAAGTCTTTTCGGCGAGCAATGTGATCGACCGCACTTTTCCTAGTATACAAGGCGTGGCTACACTGAATGATAATTGGGAAAATTTTTTCATCTATTTTTTTCTCATATTTCTCTAAAAGAAGAAAGCTTGTGAACAACAATATAAAGTCGAAAATACCATAAAACAATATTTAATTAGACAAGATATAACCAATTATGCATTTATCTGTCACAGACAAAACGAAGTTTAGGAAGAATTTGTTTTTAATATAGGCGTAAAACAACGAAATAATTTTTTTTATTTAAAAATAAACTTTTATTTTCGTTTACATTAAAAAAATCTAACATGTACTTGTTTTTTGTCTCAATAGACTAACTATTTATTTTCACTTCTTCATCTTATAATTTATTCATCAGCGGCTTCTTCTGTATCAGTATAATTATATATAGAAATATCGTTTTAATCTTAATCTATTTTACAATAAAATTTGCACAAATTTAGATTTAAGACAATTTTAAATATAATGCTAGTCACTATAAAATTCACAAAGTTTTGTATTCGGTCGATCTACTACTAAGATAATTTTTAATCAACATTAGTTATGATTTAACAAATAAACTTAATAAATCCGTATCAAAATGAAATCAACGGTATCTCATAAAGATTGAGTCTCTCAATGATTAAATCTCTTCACTTAACTTTTCAGCGTTTGATGCACTTTGTTTTTCTTTTTAAAGCCTGAGTAATAGAATTTAATACCTGATATGATAAAGACGCGACTACCTGGCGTGCGTTTAAGTCGAGAGACGAACACGTAGTGTCGACGATGTGTATTTCTGATTTAAACGGCTTTTATGAAATGTTAGAAAATTCATAGACAAATAATTGGTCTAATGTTTGTCTGAGACTTTGTTTTCTTCGTATTAAAGCGGCTTTGTTCGCTTAGATGATCGTAAAGTTAAATTTTCTGATTAAATTGGTTGAATATTTTTATATTCAAACATATGTTTTCTTGTTTTTAAAATATAAGATTTTTGAAAATATTCGTTCATTATAATGAGAAGCTTTTTTCTGGTCGATTTACCGTCAAAATAAATTTCAGGTAGTTTTATTATTAGGCACTGTAGATATGAAACTTATTTTTTGAATGATATGATGAATCGAGTAAAATATATTTCCTACTACTTTCATTGATGAGATGTTTTTTTTTTCTTTGTTTTTGAATGCAAGTGTTATCGAGTATATTTTTTTCAATTATGCTCTAGGCATTTTTCTTTCTCTTCACTTTTGAATCATCACTCTCACAGAACGGATAGTTGTTTTTCTTTTTTTTGTAATTTACTGTGGATTTCTAACAAATATGCAAAGAAACAAAACGACATTTTTGACCTATTTTGATCATACAGCCGCAATTGACTATTAAAAACGATGAATTTATTCATAATAAATGAAAATTTATGTAAGAATGGATATGAATTAGAATGGAATTCATTCATTAAAGATTTATTTATCATTTTCATAATATATTTAATCGATACATTAATTACCTTGTGTTTTTTCAAAAAACATGAAAAGAGCAACATTCTCAAGAATAAACACATATGTGTACCTCAATTTAAATCGTGTAGTCTTGGTAATAAATATCCAGTTGAAATTCCAAATCTTATTCAATCCATGGTTTTAATTAATTTACATAATGAAATTTTCAATGAATTATCTCTATTTTCTACCGTGGAAACTATTACCGAATCAATCGAAAGTATTAATTTTTATGTTTTACCAACAGAAAAAATAGTTAAAATAAATGATCAAAGTTTGCCATCAATAGAACAACGAGAATTGATATGTTATGTTGATGGTAGTTATTCTCATCGTATGCAAATCGGTCATTCAGGTTTTCGAGCTTCAGATGGTTCAAGTACAGTTCAGCGTTATTTTCCTAAATGTTCAAGAAGAGGTAGTACTGAAAGTGAAGTGTTTGCTGTTAGTCTTGCTATTCAACATGCTTTTAAAAATTGTTATAATACATTAACCATTTATACAGATAATTCTAAAGTCGAACAACTTCTTTGTCGTCCAAAAGATAAAGACAGTTGTGATTATCCTGTTTTTTATCAGTCTTTATTTCAATATCAACAACAAAAATCTAATAATAATATTCGAGTAGAACGAGTTCGTGGACATACAACACGTTATGAACAAAGTCAATGTGATACAAAACGTGAATTTGCTAAAATTGATCGAATTGTTCGTAAAAAAAATCAACGATATATTCGACGACAACAAATTAAATATGAAAAATATTATCCGTCTTATTATGCATATAATGCTTTTACATATTCTAGATGGAAAGTATATCAATGTTTATTTCATTTTTGATCAATTACTTAGAACTTGATCAAGTAAAAATAACATTGTATCTAAGAATATATTTATATGTAAATTTGTAATATAATTATTTTATAAAAATAAAATTATTCGATTACTCTTTTTTTAGTTCAGTAATGATAATATAACATATTTTATGTAATGTTTTTTTTTTCTATTACAATATATGATTTTTAACAGTTTCACTTTCAGTAAAAAAAAGTATTCAAGAAAATTCAACATTGAGAAGTTCTATTCAAATAGAAGTACCATCAACAACTAAAGTGAACTTCTGATGTTAATCAATATTTTCAAATATCTTATTTGAGATGATCGAGTTATGATCAGTCAAATGTTACATAAGAGTGAATACATAACTCACATATAGTTTTTTAATATTTGATTGTACGTACATCAGAATTATAAATCTCAATATGGGAGAGTCTGAGGTAGACTAGTCCTGTCTTTCGATTTTTTAAGTCGTGTCTACGAAAGTTTCGACTTGTTATCGGAAAGTTATTTACCTACTTTTGAAAAGCACCTTTTCCCAATCACTTTCTGTCAGACAGACGGCTTCCGACGGCATGTCAAACTTTAAGTTCCTTCAACTTCAAAAAACAACAGAGAGCTCTAATTACAATGAACATATAAATTTTGTCTATTCTCTATTTGGTATAAGTAAAATAAAATAATGCAAGAATATATTTTTCTCAGATAATATAAAACCAATGTCAAGTATATTAAAAATAGTGTTTTCAACAAATATGTTGATTGACTGACTGGCCTAAAATAATGACATGAGTCATCTAAGCTTCATGAAAGCGACATCTACATATCCAGAGTAATTTAATATTATTATATTTGTTTGATTTCTAATAGAACTTGTAATTTATTTTTTTTTATTTAAATTTAAAATTTTTCATTTGAATAAATCATAAAAAGGAAGAGAGGCTTCTTTAGAGGTCTATAATTGGTTGTATAAGGACAAAATCCAAGATGAATATTTATTTCTAGTGCTTGCTCTTTCTTTATTTGTTGATTAATCTCTCCATTCATCCTTTCTTCTTATTGCGTGTGACCAGTGGTTGACTTCTCCCTCGAATCGTTCTTCGTCAAAGATTAAAAATGGATTCAGACAATGATTCTGGTAATTCTAACGATGGTCCAATACATCGTCGTCGTACGCAAGGTACACGTCCTCCACCATCATCACATCAAAATAATTCTATGCAACGAATATCAACCGGTAATACTAGTGTTGATCGTACATATCATCCAACTAAAGAGGATGCACCTTATTCAGATGATGATGATCTCGATGAAGAAGAAGAAGATGATGATGATCAGCGTCATCATCATCAACAATCAACTTATCGTGGACGTGGTCGACCATCACAACAACAACATTTAATGGATAGTTCCTATGATGATGGAAATGAACATCATGATTTACCAAGATATACAGGTCCATTACGTGAACAAGATCGATTTTTACCAATTGCAAATGTTGCAAAAATTATGAAAAAAGGTGTACCAGAAAAAGGAAAAATAGCTAAAGATGCTAAAGAAACTATTCAAGAGTAAGATTTTATATTTATTTTTATCCAAAAAAAAAATTATTTTATTTAAATAAATAGATGTGTTTCGGAATTTATTTCATTTATTACAAGTGAAGCATCTGATCGATGTCTTCAAGAAAAACGAAAAACAATTAACGGTGAAGATATTATTTTGGCAATGTTAACACTTGGTTTTGATTCATATGTTGAACCATTACGAACATTTTTAACTAAAGTACGTGATGCATCCAAATATGATCGTACAATGACAATGGGTGGGGAATTAGCTGATGATTTACGTATACAAGTTGCACAAGCACAAGTTAATCAAACATCTATACCAATGGTTCAAGCACAAGTTGCTACAACTGTTCAAGTACAACCACAAACAACAGCAACTTCAGCTTCATTATCTGCTCAAACAATAGCAGCTAAACCAGCTGTTGCAGCAGCTAATCCAAATGGACTCGAGCCTTATGGACATTCAGTAAGATTTTATGCTTAGAAATTAATCATTGAATTAGATTGTAGCAATTCAAGAGAGAATTTATCCGACGAATAAACTGTTTGAGCTCATAATGTAGATAGAAATTCTAAAAGAGTTCGTGTCATTAAGCTTTTCTTCTTGAGTTATTGAACTTTCAGCCTATTATTAGAATATCACGAGAAAAATCGCAACAAAGAGTTTCGGCTTGAAACTTTTTCCAGGAATAGATCTTATAGTCTTGATAATATTCTGAAAGATTCACCTTAAACGAATCATTCTTTAAGATATCATATGTCTAAAAACTGTACCTATACTATGAGTAAAATATGAGCTCAAACAGAGATTATTAGTCGAATGAGTTGACTCTCTCTCGTTTTAATAGAGATGACTGATTAATTGTATAATGTGACGATGAGAAATTGCCTTAGTTCTTCAGTAACTGATTTTCTGAACTAACAAAGTTTTTTTGATCCATCTAGATTGTAAGCGGTGTCGAATTGTCCATAAAACAGGAAATTTTTCTATTTCAAATCATTTTCTTGCGGAAAATAACCATTTCAATTCATACAACAAATACATTTCAAAACTATTTTATTTTCGAGCAAAACAGAAAAGATTATTGTCTTATAGATAACAGGATATACTCCATAATCAGAGTAGATCAAAAATGGTTTTGAAAAAATGTTTATTAGTCTAGAAAACCAGCGTATAAATATCTAAGAAGCTTTCTATGGTCATAGACGAAATTGGCATGATTGAAAACTCATAGATCATTCGCTTTTGTTGATAAAGCAATGGATCTATTAAAAAACGTTCGCTCGTCAATAGAATCCAGCTTTGATATGATTCTACTGAACTATGACTATCAGCCACCGATCAAAACATTATTTTCCATCGACTTGGTATAAGTTGTTGACAGCTGCCTATGCGTCAAAGTAGTTTGGCAGGAAAATTACCTACATCATTGGTCACCACGATCATTCTGTCAATTTCTTCATAATTATTTTTCTATATTTCTATTTTAGGTTCGTGTGGTAACTTGTATTCGAAATGATCAACCAGGTGAAAATCCTAATTATGTTTATACAATTCAACCGTATCAATAAATAACTATAAATAGACCTAACATTATTTAAAGGACAGAAACAATTTGTACATTGTTTTTCTTGTTTCGTTTTTTTTTTTTTTTTTTTTTTTTGTCTCGTTGTTTGTACATTGTTTGTCTAACATATATCATCAGTGTATTTGTGTATGTGTCTTTTTCTTTCTTTCGTTCTTTATTTCTATTTTGCAACAAAAAACAAAAAAATCTTTCCTAATGGGCAATTATTTCTTACAGATAAAATTTTTATTCTATGGACGAATTGTCTTTAATTATTCAATCAATAATTGATACTGAATTGGATGATCTTATACTTGATTTAGTTTATGAAATTCATTCATCAATTAAAGGAATACCTGAAGATCAACTTGAAATAAATAATAATGGTACTAAAACAAAAACTTTTTCAATACCATTTTCACCATTTCAAACAACAGCTATTGAAAAACAGACATGTATTTGTCCTCAGTGTGGTCAATCAAATATAATAGCCATACGATTTGCTTATCATCTAGCGAAATGTCTCGGTGAGAGAAAGAACAAAAAAGAATATTTTCATCAGGTTTTCTTTTTATTATTTAAAATCAAAAACTTTTATGGATTTTTTTCATTTTTAAAGGTGTTGGTCGACGTTCGTCTCGTCAAGCTAAAAATCGAATTGTTGATCAAGTTATGACTATAACGGCTTTATCAGATGACAGTCGATCAAATGGAGATGAATTTCAAAATATTGAACCAAATAATATTATGCCAGAAGATGCTGGATCTTGTACAGGTAAAATTTTTTAGTTTGTTTTGTTTTTCATATTAATTGAAAATACATTCGTATTTTACGATTCGACAAAGTTCTTATGGAGAACAAAAGCAAAATACTGGAAAAGTTTTATGATAGCAACTCTGCAAATCTTCACTATTCGATCTCACCAATATGACTTAGATGTAGTTTTATATGAGAAATATGAAAGAAATATTCATGAGATTGAAAACTGAAATGATGAAGATTTATAGAGTTGCTTTTCTGACACTCTTTTAGTATTTTGCTTTTTTTCTCCATAAAGATTTTGTCGAATCGAAACAAATAGGAATACATTTATAATCAGCGAGAAAGACTGAATTTATATTTGTATGTTTTAGCTAAAAATAAAATCTAGTGTAATTTTACATTATACACACGTTAAATAAACTAAAATATTTGATTGATTTCTTTTCTTTTTTGAGATTCGACATCAAGCTCAAGTAATAATCATCGTCGAATAATAAATGAAGATCAAGAATATACAGGTGATTTTGATAATGATGATGAAGATGAAGATGATTGGAAACCGAAAAAGAAAAAACGACGAAATGCAACAATAAATACAAATAATGGAAATAAAAATAAAAAAAGAAAAAAGAAAGATGATATTATTACTTTATCACAACCTATTGCTGAACTTGATTTTCACAATTGTATCATTCCACTTGATAAACTTAGGTAAGAAATTTTTATTTTTATTTTTTTTGTTTAAACTTTGTTGTTGTTGTTTTTTGTTGCTTTAGTCCACGAACACAGCATACTGTGGTTTCTTTAGTACCTTCAACAACGCCATCAAATAATGAAAATATTTTTATAAAAAATCGTCAAATGTCACCACCTTCCCCATCATCTCATTTTCCTGCTCGATCACCATTAAATCTAGTCGAAGATGAACAATCATCAGCTACATCAATTATTATGTTTCAAGAAGACAGTAAACGATAATTCATTTCGTTATTCGTTTCCTTTTTTTGTTGTTGTTGGTTATTGTTTTAAATCTCTTCTATTATGTGTTCAGTCAATTTTTTTTCTTTTTTTCTGGTGAATTTCAAAAGTCAAGAAATACAAAACAACAGAGAATTTCGATGATAAATTTATTTCTATGTTATCTTTCTTACAGTTGACTGCTATCATTGACAATCTTCTTTTTTTTTCTCTTTCTTTTTTAATTTGTACAACAATATGAAATATGATGTTATATTCGAAAAAAAAAACAAGATTTAATAAAATATATATAAAAATTTATTTAGAAATCAAAAGTTATTCTATATAAAAGAAACTATTTTTCGCATAAAAATAAGGCAAAGACATACGAAATATATCGGTAGATAATTGAGAATTAAACAAAAAAAACTAAGAGAAAATAATTCAATGGTATGAAAAAATTTTTTCTAAGTGGTTCATTATTCTCTCTTTGTGAATGTCTAAACATTTAATCCTAGTCGAGATAATGATTGTTTTTAGCTTGTTACTTAGCTTTAGCGTGTGTTTATCGGCCTGGAAGAATACAAGACTCATACCCAAGTGTTTCAGTACCTAATGGCTTTATACCATCATGTGGCAACATCTAACCACTATCAATCAAAATTTTTCAAAGCTCAATTTTTGTTTACAGCTATTAATGTGCAATTTTTTGTGGTTTTCTCATTTATTCTAAAAAGAACTATTTGAAAAGGAAGATATAAATACGTATAGAGTGTTTCAACTGCTTCCAGATTTACATCGACTTTTTTTCTAACAATAGTTAAGTATGCTAGTCGTACAGGTCTCGTCAAGTCCTGCAGAAACTGATATTTGCAAATTCCTCCAAACAATCGGTTCAAGGTATGTATTTCTAAAAATTACTTTACATACACAATTTTTTATGCCCTATCTAAGGATTAGATCGAAGTTTAGAATGAACTCTCATGAAGAATATAGCAGTCAAATTTCGTGGTTAGTTTTCGATAAAATCGTCTTTTAAGCGTACTCTGCTGAAATTAGCCCATCAACCGAATAGAAAAATAACATCGATTTTCTGCATGACTTGACGAGGGCTACAAAACTAGCATACTTGAATCTTGTCGAAAAAAAGTCGATGTAAAACTGAGAGAAGCTGCGTGAAAGCTTGGTTATTCCGATTGGGATATATTAAGGTTTCTTCCCACTAGCAGGAAGAGGGATATTCATTTCCCAGTGATAAATATATTGCTTTTACCATTGCAAACGAAAAGTGTGTTTGCAATTTTTTGTCCTTTTATGATCAGGTGTTGCCACATAGCAACATCTTTAATTTTTATATTTGAAAATTATGCGAAATAAATTAGCCATAAGATAGCTAATAAACTAATAGGTAGTTTGGTGACCAAAAGTCAAAATAAGGACACTTACTGTCCTGCCATCCGCCATGACGAGACAGAAAAAGTTGTCCTATGTCCAGCTCTGCTATATTTATTTTAAACATCAAATGTAATTTCGAGTGTAAAAGATGTATTAGAAAAAAAAATGTCACTTTTTTTCTGATACACCTTTTACACTTTAAATTGCATTTGATGTTTAATATAAATATAACAAAAGATACGGTGCGCTCCGAGCTTTCTTGCTATATATAGTAGGTTAACAAGTCAAAGAAAGATAGTAATAAAAAGAAAAAAATATCAAGGCGGAAAACTAATTGAGCAGCGCTATATTAAAAATTGATATTTTTTCTTGTAAAAAAAATTTTGTCAAAAAAGCTGGTCGTTGATATTTATAAATCATAGATAGTAAATATATCCTTGAATAAATATGTATTTATGCAAAAATTCTATTTGATTATTAATCGTACAGATTCTGTTCAAGTGGGTTCAGTTACTTTTGATATTATTTAAAATACATTTCTCCAGGCAGTAGAAGACCCCTGCGCACAACTACACGCGCGAGCAAATACTGTAGCAAGCATATATCCTAGCGAGTAACTGTCCAGTTTCTCTTTAAATAGTATTCACTTCTACTTTTCATGATATAGTCTAAAATCCTAAGTGAATGTGACAAAATATATTTCTAATGAATGATATTTATGTTTGAAAAAATGATATCACACAAAAACCTTTTTTTGATAGTTTTCTTTTCTTTTGTGATTATGATAAATACTACTTCCAAATATCTTGGAGTAAATCAATTGGTTTTAATGGCTCTATATAACGTATTTGTTTAGCTGACGAAGGTACTGACGGTAACATAATTGATGGTATTTCTGGTTGTGTTTGTTGTTGAATACTTAAAAATTCATCGAGGTTTGTTTTTAAAATACTAATAAGTATTTTAGGTTCGTTGATTTGTCCAAGAAGTGGTTGTATAAGACTTGATACAGATTCCATTATTTGTCTTGTTACTTGTTTCATGTAATCTTCAAGAGCTTTTTCTTTGAAAGGATCTGTAAAAGGATGTGCATTTAATCTATCTATGATATATTTAAGATTACTCAAATCATTAGTAAGTTTATTTAATCGTTGTTCCATGTCAGTTAAAATTAAGAGTCGATCATCGAATCTCAGTTCGAATCTATCAAGTCGTAACTTGATATTTTCAACCTCAAGGATTTGTTCGTTTAAATAATTCAATTTTTGACTTATATCTATTACAGTTTTCCGTAGTTCCTTAACTTGACTAACAGCTATTCTCGAATTATCATTTGCATCAGTAATATCGCGTGATTTTTTTATCTAAATCATCATCAATAGATCTAAGACGCTCTTGAATTCTTGTAATATCAGTAATTTTGATATCATTAACTATTTCTTTTAACTTCTGGTATAATGAAAACAAAGTATCAAGTCTTAAATTGTATTGCTCCAATGAATCATCATGACGAGTGATATCACTTTGAATTTGACTAATACGTAATTCCAATTGTTCAACTATATTTTGATGAATTATTAAATTTCGAATTTCTTGAATTTCTTGTTCAATAAAAGGTATTCGATAAAGTAAATAAAATCCTTCTTGAATTTGATTAAACGAATTTTTCATATCATCAAGTTTTTCTATAAATTTATCCAGTTTTTCAAGATCTGAATGACGAGCATTTATGATTAATTCAAGGTGTTGTGATAGTTTATTAAGTGTATCTCGTTGAAGAGAAAGATTAATGATTGAAATTCCATGTTCTTCTTGTTTTCTATTAAGACGTTCTTGTTTTGTATGCAGTGTTTCTGATTTTGTTTTAAGATCAAAAATTGTTTCATTTATAGTTTTTCTATATTGTTCAATTTCTATTCGATATTGTTCAAATCTTTGTTTAATTTCATTGATTTCCTCATCATGATCATGTTTGTTTTGGTTACATCTCATTTCATTTTGATTAACACGTTCAACTAATGCATTGTGTTCAATCCTAAGTTGATGAAGATCTTCTTCTAATTGATAAATTCGACGTAGTTGACCTCTAATAAATAAAAATTTTGATTTATTATTATCGATGAAAATAGAGTAAATGAGTACAGCAATATAGAAGAATAAAGAAATACAAGAAATGATGATTGAATTTGATATTAGATAGTATAAATTATAAACGACTAACTGATAGGTCTTAATTATGTGATACTCTATTTATGATGACACATGAATCATAACTTATTGAACTACGTCGTGATTCTATTTTCAAGATTTCATAATGAAACTTACTTTGATGTTGAATTCTTCAGATAATCTTCGATTAGTTTCTGTAGAAGAAAAAATACAACTAGTAAAAATTGATTAACTTTTTATGTAATATTCTTACTCAAATCAAAGTCTTATTATTATAGAGTTCTAATTCACTGACTTTTTTTTTTATGTGCAATCTTAACATAATATAATTGAAATATATTTAGAATGAATATCATATTTGATTACATACTTCCATTTGTCGAAGAAAATATGCTTTTTCTTTATCGTTCTTTTCCGCTTGTTTTCGATAATCAGCTTCCAATTTTCGATCAATTTCTTTAAAACCTCAAAAGATTAATTATTATAATGAAATTAAGAAACAAAAATACTTCATACTCTTCAACAATTTGTTCGATGAATTGTTGACGAAACGATATTGCATGTTGTCAATTATTGATATGTCGTTGTTGCATTGCTACGATAGGTGAATCTTCTCGATCAAGCTTTTTTCATCAATATTAAATCCTAATTAAGAAAATAAACAATGATAAACTTACCAAATCAGTTGCTCGTAATCTTTTTTCAAGGAGTCTAGTATATCGATGTGAATCAAATTTGTCATCGATTTAAACAGGTTGACTTAAGTTATTGAAATTCATATTTTTCACAAGAAAATATTAATTAAAGACACTTACGCTGATTGTGTACGACGTCGGCGTTTTCTTTGATTAATTCGTTCTTAATTAGCATTAGACATCTAAAAAACATCATGCATTAATATTTATTATAGTTTATCTGTTTATTTTTAATAATGCTGTCGATAAAACTATTAAGAAATTATTTACTAACCTTGAATCGAAGTTCGAATAATTGAATAGAAATCTAAATGATAGATTTTAATGTATCATAAATAATAATGCAAATTATTGGATACTGACTTTATATGCGAATACTCAACATAAATCAAAAGATAGATCTATCTAAAAAAATGCAATACTTCGTTAAGATAATATTTTAGCAACAACAAGTATTTAGTGTAGCTTCAGTTTGTTTTTTATCAAGTTTAGATAAATTATTATGTTCGTCAAGTGTTCCTAATCGATAACCATATACCTCAGGATTCATCCACGATAAACGATTTTGTTTAACAATCCTTGTATTATCTATAATATAAATGCCAGGTTTTTGGTAAAAATCATAAAGATACCATTGACTTGGTTTTTCTCCTTGTTTTGGATTTTGCAAAGGTGTATATGGTAAAATCGCACTTTTTTCAAGATTCAATTGCCGAAGAACTTTTGCTTTGAAATTTGGTCTCGCGGAACAGATCATTTCAGTTATGACATCAGCCAAATATTTTGGTTCTTTGTATTTTGCAAGCCGTAATTTCTCACAAGCTCCATCAACAATCATTTGTACTGCAACAGCGACACCAAAACTAGCAACTTGTTCTGTAGGATTTATCGTCTCTCTGGAATTTTCTTTGACAGAAGAATCGTCTTTACAATTAGGTCGAGAAGGTGTACAACAACATAGACTAACTTGAGAAACTCGGTCAGATTGTGGCTGCAAACTTAGTAGTTGATCTTTATAATAATCAGCTAACTTACGAGCCACTTGACGCGCTACATCGGTCAATTCTTCAGTAGTTCCAACTTTTGTAATCCATGACATTCTATTTTGAAATCTATTATATTCATGCTGTTGAAGCCCAAAACCAGCTGCACATGCTACAGTATATAGCGCCCCACCACCCATTGGCATCACAGCACCTAGAGCATTTCCCAGAAGGCACACACCATTAGCTATCCTTAAATAAAGAAAGATGTATAATGGCATATTTAATAGAGATAATTGTTTGTATTTGAGTTTTACAGTGAGTCGATTATAGCTAATGTGTTTTTTAAATAGTATATATCATACAAAAAAAAAGACAGACCCTGATATAACCATATAAACTCAATTGTTCAACTAACTAATGTTTATATTAAAATGCCGCTCATTTTTTCGTCTAATATCAATATACTGAAGGGTGCGTGAATAATATTGTAATTCATTTTTCGTACTGTTGAATATTCTCACTGAATCAGATATTTTTCTTTTATAATTGATCTCTATATAAACATACATCTTTATCACATCTTGGAAATTTAGTGAAGCTTTATTTTTCATGAACGTAATTGATAGAAGTAGTGCAGTTTAATTCACGACAGTTGCTACTTAATCAAATTTTGGTATAAATTTTATTAATCAAAAGTAACAGATATATATATATGAAGTACATCATTACGATTAATTTCAATTTAAAAAGTTTTAAAATATTTTCGAGAAAAGACAATGATGTTCATATACTTAATCAATCATTTATCGAAATAAATCTTAATAGTGATTATGTTTTAACTGGATATATACAATAAAACGACTATGTGGTTAATAAATGTTCTTGAATTATTCATTAAATTAAAAATAAAACAAAACTTACATAGTTTCAGTTCCTGTTCGATCATGTTTAACTATTGGTTCGCTTTGACCATCTCCACTTGTCACAGCCATAGCTGTGAATTTATGTGATAGAGATATACGCATTTCTTGGTAAAAAAATAAGACGATTGTTGTTTTGATCACATTCAAAATGCTCTTTATAAAATTTGACTTGATTGCGATTGTTTTCAATTTTTTCTAATATGGATAATTTGTCCTTCAAAAAATGTAGCAGAACTTGATGAATCTGTTCGTTATTATTCGATTTCGAAGGATCTTGATTTATTGCCATTTTGAATATGTTCTCGGAAGTTTCTTGTAGTGAAAAAGTTTGTTCCTCTTTTAGTTGTCTTATTTGATCTAACATTTGATTGCCACATTTTTTCACGAGCTTGATCTTTATCTAGTTCGTCATTGAGTTGATCGAAAGCAATCATTGCAGCTCCAGTATAGTTTTGATTTTGATGCAAATTACAAAGAAGAGCAAAGTATATAGGAGAATAATTATTATGTACTTTTTCATCACCAATTCCTTGTTCATATCGTGAAATCATTTCATGATATTCTTTCTCAGATACAGATAATTTACTTATATTATGTGATAGATTGTACATTTTCTCATGTAATAAGTTAAGGATGAGACACAGTTTATCGGATATAGTCTGTTGATTTAGCATTGATAACAATCGTTGTAACAGAAACTACAATCATATATGTATAGCAGTTAAAAGTAAAATCGAAAAATTATTTAAAAATTTGATTTTGATTTAAATTATAGACTGATAAAGTTATCTTTTCTCATAATAAAACTAATTTCATATAAATATTTTATCTATATATAACAGAAATAGTATATATGTAGTTCGTTAATAGCGCCGAAATAGTACAAAATTTTTCATTTTCTCGTAAACTCTATTAATCATGAACCGGCTTTTTATTCCTTCGCTTTAAAATGGATAAAATCATTGAAATAAAATATATTTAATTTACTTGCATTCCTAATGTTTCACTCTTTTGTTCAACAAATATTCAGTGTTACGAAGAATAATTTTTACACATTTATTAAGTATACATTCGTCTTTTTTCTTTTTATCAAACATTAAAAGTTTTCTAAATATTGCTCATATCGAACTAAGAACTCATCATTATCCGGAAAACATTAGTAAAAAGAACTTTTAATAGTATCATCTCTTGACCAATAAAGTTATTTAGAATTTTTGTTTTTCTGAACATTTTGATTCTCTTTACTATGAAATATTATTCTAGCATAATCCACATATGAGAAAGGTAGTATAAGTATTGCAATCTATCGACACACCCAACTTTTATTTTTGATTGTACAAAATATAAACTTGATAGTGTGTAGAGGTGTGAATACAGCTAAAGAGAAGATCTTCATTTACCACCTATACCCACACCATATCACTCAAAAGTATAAACACCATTTTGAAGATCGTAAAGTTAATTAGATGATCTTCATTTATTACATAAATGCATTTCGAAAAATCTTATAGGTTCGGAAATTATCTACTAGCAATGAAACATTTTCTTAATTAATGAATGTTTAGAACTAAAATTATTGAAATTCTCTAATAATCTACCTTTTGAAAAGAAAAACACGATATATCACTTGGACTTTCGAAAGCATACGCTGAGAAGTTTTAAAGTGGTCAAATATTGTGTATTCTATCAAAAATATATTCCAGATTCAAAGTAATTCTTTACTTATATTTTCAACTATTTATCTTTTACCTTTGAAGACTGTTTGAGAAATAATAATCAGAAAATTGAACATTTGTCTTATCTCATAATAATGTTTCATAGCCGCTAGATCGAATTCTCTATGTTCCAGTTGCAAAGCTAATTGCTTGTCGCGTATACATGCTCCAATCTGTCCCATTTTATAATGAACTTCTCCACGTACATATAATATATCTGATTTATGAGGAGCTTGCTCATGAGCTTTGGTTAAATAATCCAATGCTTCTGGTTGTAAATCAGGATTTTCGCTTTCCATCATTCCAAGTCGAAACAAAGCTCGTGTATAATTTTTGTCGAGCGTGAGTGCAGATCGAAGTTTTTCTTTGGCAAGTTCACATTGATTAAGTGCATCTAGAGTCAAGCCAATATAAAAGAGCGTATCAACACTTTCTCGTTTATTTTGATTATACTTGAGCGCTTTATTGAATTGCTGCAGAGCAGTAGAATAATTATTTAATTCATAAGAAGCAAGACCACAATAAAAGTGAGTTTCAAATTTTTGTGATGATTTGTCACAGTCATTGCGACACATGTTTGCAAGATCATTAAATATTGCTTTTGCTTTATTACTATGTCCTAGAGAAGCTTCAGCTCGAGCTCGACAATACACATAATAAATAGGCGGCGGTTGTAGTGCTTCATTTGCAAAGTTTATATCATCTAGTGCCTTTTGAAATTGTTTTATCTCACTGTAAACCAGACCTCGACTTAAATATCCTTTATGAACTTCATCTGGACAGTACTGAATGTACATAGTGTAATCAATAATAGCTTCTGCATATTGGCCAATCAATTCACATGCAAAGGCACGTTTATAATAAATACTAGGATCAATTTTAACATGAGAAATTTTCAATGCTTGATCGAAATCTTCAATAGAATTGTATATTTCGATTCGTTCGCCCACTTCAAGACGAGCACATCCTCGATAATATAGTGAATCAAAGGTAGCTGGTGTCACTTTATTAAAAACAGCAATGGCTCCATAAAAATCGCCTTGAAAAGCTTTTTGACGACCTTCTTCAATTTGACTGTTACGCGTAAACATGAAGTCCTGTAAAATTCAAGTTGGTTCACATATAAAAGAAGATTGAAGTCTCTGTCTATTTAAAATTATTTATGTTCATTACTTTAAATGTACGAATTCTGTGTTTTTTTTTAATATATCTTCGAATCAAAACTTTCAGTCAATGAAATTGTTTTTTTTATCTACACTTACACACCTACACCTACATCATAGTGGCGTAACCAGGGTTTTCTGGGATGCTGGATCTCAACTTTAGAGTATGGATCCCAGTTGAAACTTATGGGGGATGATATTGGTCCCAAATGATGAGTTTCTACCAACTAATTTTTTTGATCGGAGTTTGCCCAAAAAATTAGCATTTTCCTGAGCCTCCCCAAGAAATTGTTGAAATTGTCAATAGTATCGAACTTTTGAGGATGCCATCGAAAGCTACACCGAATTTTATCGACAGTTTTCAAATTTTACCCGAAAATATCAATCCGTTCGGGAGTTATAACGTTTTGGATTTTTAGGACATTGCTCAGAAATTGCGGCAGAGATTCAAAACGTTATAACTCCTGAACGGATTGATATTTTCAGGTAAAATTTGAAAACTGTCGATGAAATTCGGTGTAGCTTTCGATGGCATCCTCAAAAGTTCGATACTATTGACAATTTCAAAAATTTCTTGGGGAGGCTCAGGAAAATGCTAATTTTTTGGGCAAACTCCGATCGAAAAAATTAGTTGGTAGAAACTCATCATTTGGGGCCAATATCATCCCCCATAAGTTTCAACTGGGATCCATACTCTAAAGTTGAGATCCAGCATTCCAGAAAATCCCGGTTACGCCACTACTACATCAAAAAACAATCTCAAGAGATTATCACTTCGACTAATATTTTTGTTGACATCCTAAAGTTTCGATTATTCTAATTATAATACTAATTGATTTTTAATTTAGTTGATGCTGTACAATAATTCTATATATTAGTCAATAAAAAAAAAGTATAGTTTTACTTTTTCTGTTGTAGACACCAACGGTTGTTCCATTTCTATTGTTGATTCGTCTTGGTCTGAATAAGGCTGGGGATGTACTTTGGTGTTGTTTTTATTGTTAAATAATGTTCTCACACGTTCTGCAATCATAATCGGGCGCTCGTCAATTTAGTAAAAATGAAATAAATCAAAACGTATTGTGCAAATAATTGATCAATTTCTTTTTTTTTTACGCAGTTATTTCAATGTAAAGAACAGAAGACATTCAACCTTCACCATTTTCGAAGTATATTGTCCTCTAAGTCATCTCATCGAATGGTTCCCTATGTTTATTCGTTCTCTCTTTCAAGTTTTCTTCTTTATAAATACTGAAGAAATCAAAATTTTGAAAAGGAATACAATAAGAAGGCCATTACCAATGACAGTTTTTTTTCGATTGTTAAAAATGATGCATCAAATTTTATTCTTATTTATAAAGTGAGTTCTCAAAGTAATAAGAAAATGATTGTTAATAAGTTCAGGATGTCCTAAGAATTTTTTCAAAGCGACTATTTCTATTTCAAAGTGCTTGAAGTTCCTTAAACTATTTTGATCTTCAACTCGATCGAATCTCGAATATTCATTGTATAGATATTGAATTTGTTATGCCTTCATAAAAAGAATTGAACAGGATAAAGTCGAAATTCTAGCAACTGAAATAGAAGTTGTTCATAAGTATTTCTGGTAATAGAGAAACAGTTTAGTAATACTTTCAAAGTTTAATCATGTAAATAAAAACCCAAATGATTCAGCTGCTATTTGAAAAAAGAAGTTAATGAAGTGCTATCGATAGTGAAGCTGTATGAAATATATTTTGGTTAGAAGCGACTGACTATGAGAATATCCTATAGAGACAGTAATTTGATGAGCCTAGCACAAGTACACTTACATTAACCGATGTCATGTTAGAGCTTCGGATCGATTATTTTGATACATTATTTCTCCACAAAATATCAATTTACAAAAAACAAAAATTAATTCACCAAGAAAATTATTTTAGTGTTCAAAAATTAAGATTTGTGTTTCAATAGATAAACTACAAAGAAATATAACAGTCGAATTATCTTCATACAAATTATTAAAGAATGTTTTTCTACAAAGAAATCAATGTACAAGAAATAAAGCCTCCCGAGCACGATCAAGCTAAATCTTTTCATGCATAATGGAAGTTGTGTATCAACCATTTGCGATTAAAAACAAAAATAGTAAAAAAAGCCTTTGCAGCAGAACAAAAATCTCAAAGGTGTTTACATTGAAGTCACACAAAATAGAATCGATTTCGTATTGAATTCTTTTCGAATAAAAAATTCCAGTTAATAAATGCCCGAAGCAAAAGGTGAAAGAAAAGGAGAACTAAATGTCAGCCAATCAAAAGAAATAGTGCAATAACTATCTGACTAATCCAGAGAAAGATTCCCATCGAACATTTCGTTTCAAGAGATTTTTTTGTTCGAGTGTGAGTGTCGGTATGTACACAAATAATTTTATTTCCACCTGCACACCCTTTCATAGGTGCGTGGAAATCAGATACAAAAAAGATTGTCACACACTATTTTGGGAGTTAATAAAGATTATTCATGAAATTAGTTTATTTTCGCCGAACTCTTTTCTTCGCTTTCAACATCACGCGAAAAAATATTTGCCAACGATGCTTTTCGCCGATTTGAATGTCATTAAATGAATTCATAATCGAAAATGAGTCTGAAATATAATGAGTTCTATATATGACATTTTATTATAGTTAATTAGTTCGTTACCATGTCAGCCAGTAACCAACTTAGAGTGTGGACGTGTGTCTGATTCTTCTTCCCATTCACACTCTTTCAAAATAACTGAAAACATTTTGCATTCAAATTTCAGACAAACCCAAGGGGGAAACTACTGATTCAACTCAGATTAAACTCAAAATAAATCACCAAACTCAGCTGAACTCATTTTAAATCAGATAAATCACCCAAACTCAGCTGAAACTCAAAAATAAATCATTTTAAATGAGTGGTTTGTTTTTGAAAAAGAATTATTTTATTCTCAAGATACAATCAAACTTGA